GTTTACATTCTGCGGGTAAGTAGACACCAGAGACAAATACTACTACGGATGGAAACTTACCTGGTGTGCAGTGTTCTTGCTGGGCCTGATGCCCTTCCTGGTTTCTGGATCTTCATGTACCGCATCAATCCCTTCACCTACATCATCGAGAGCTTCCTGGGCACCTCACTTGGCAACGCCCCCATGTACTGCGAGTCCAACGAGTTTGTGCGCTTCACAGCTCCAGACGGTTCTACATGCGGAGAGTACGCTTCTGAGTTTTTGTCCCAAGTGGGAGGCTATCTCGCCGACTCAAACACGACTGACTGCCAATATTGTGCCATGTCTGAGACCAACACATTCTTGGCCAGCGTTAACGTCAGCTTTGGAAATAGGTGGAGGGACTTTGGATTCATGTGGGTGTATTGCATCTTCAACATCGCCATGGCCTTTGCTTTTTACTGGTTGGCAAGGGTTCCGAAGAACAAAAAGGCAAAGAAAGAGTAAGAATCGTTGAGGAGTGGTGTTTTTTCTCCTCTGAGGATAAAGGGGGGGACTTATAGACATGAGATTTTCCTTGGATCGTTGTACATCACTATGTTGTAAAAAGATTGTATTTAGAAACAGCAGCATTTTAATTAAATTTCTCCTTCTCCTTCTCATTTGCTGGTACCGTCAACCACTACAATGAGGCGATGATGCTAAAATTCAAGACCCGACAGTATTCTAACTGCTGACGCTTTTTATCCTAACAAATGAAGCCGAGACATACCGTTTCCAAGCAAGTGCCTTGTCTAGACGGCTTACGCCGTGATGGGGTAATAGCCGAGGAATCAATTCGTTCCACCATCCTTCATACAGAACAGCACCCCGATGCTTCGGACATACTTGGGATCAAGGCCGGTCTTCCGCCGCCTCGCTGTCTTTTTAAGTCCGTACGCCGGAAAGAGTGTCGGACTTTTGAAAATCCCCGTTAGTCCGCATGTCCGGCCTCATAAAACCTTCTTTGACAACTAGTTTATGATTGGTGGCAGCGGGATGCACAATGTCACAGCCCATATTGCCGCATGGGATGGATTAACGAATTACTTCTCACTCAGGGACCTGTCGTCCTGCTCGCTCACTCACGTCGCGAGTGAGAAGGTGAGGTATCTCACAACGTCCATCGTGAAATGCGCCCTGGACCCTGCCTATATAGGACCACCAACATGCCCTGGATAGAGACTGTAGCTACTGCACGGGGCTCATCCTCGCTAGCCAGGGTACCATGTCAACACAGAGCAGCCCATTGGCTAACCCTCGCCCGCTTTGCCAAGCCCCTGGATTTCAACTGCCGTGACGGAGTTCTCGGACTCCGGACCATGTCCTTTACCGTACCTAACCTCAAAAAATGCCAAAATTCCCTGGATCGGATATGGCAGTTCATTCATCATCCGTCTTGTCATCACCAATCCCCAGTACCCGCCAGATCCCACGCTATCCCCGGAACCTCGATATTCGTGCCCCCCTGTATGGATCCCACTGCGCAATCGAGTCAGGGCCACAGTGAGCTAGCGGTAAGCATGACTGGACCTAAGCTCCCAGGCCAATTCTCTCTGCAGGCAATCGCCTGTGATTCTGACGCGGATACAAAACAGTGTCTTGGCTGCAAGGCCCGAAAGGTAATGAGACAACACTGCTTCCTCCTATCCCTTCCATACTGGCCATTGCTGGAACTGGGGCTTGTCTCTTTCACTCATGTTGTTCCATCTTCATTCGATCATGGGCTTACAGCATTACTAGACTCGCTGCAACCGAGTTAAACCCACCTGCGATGGATGCTTTGCTCGGAGTCTGACATGCACATATCCCAACAAGAGGAAAACAAGATCTAATGTCCCAAAGACAAGGCCTCAGCCGATGTATGTTTTACTCTCCTTGGGCCCTCCTAGCTGTCCTTACCTAACCTGTCTGAGTTGGGCCAGAGACCGTGACTTCACGGCCATCCTGGAGAGGATCCAACAGGTCGAGGAAAAATGCTCACAGCTTGCGGCTGCCGGTATATCACCGCAAGTAGCCGCCGACAGAAAATCCATCAGCCTCGCCTATAATGACATGAGGAGGTACCATACCCCATTTTCAGCGTCGTCTGGGCAGTCTCCCAGCGTGAAATCCGCGGTCTCTTCGGCACCACCGAGAACTGAAGCCGATGCTATTGAAGAAGTGTCGGAAGCCAGCTGGACAAATTGTCCGAACACACCCACCAGCGCAAGCGCGCTCCTCAAACAAGTTCTTGACGACGTCTTAAGTGTCAAGCGGCAGGGCTTGGACGATAAGATTGCACACATGGACGACCATATTCGACCAGAACTTGCCAGAGCCTGTGTCCAAAGTAAGAACTTTCTTCGTTTGCCTTGGACGCCAAACCCCATGGCTCCTCTGTTGACAGCGTGTTTAGACTTTTGTGAGCACTACCAGATCGACACATTCCCGGGCTTCATCAACACGAAGCTCATGAACCTAATGCCGGACATCGTCGACATGCCCGAGATCAGCGTCGACCCAGCATCCCTTGTTCTCTATTACAGCGTGCTCTATCACGGGTCTTTGATGATCTCTGATGCAACGAGACGACAAGAAGGGACCTTGGAACAGAAAATATACATTTGCTGCCTCCGTGCCATACCAGCTTGGGAGGGGCAAGCTGCGAAGACCAAGACGGATCTAATCGCTGCAATTCTTCTTGTACGTAGGCTAGGAACTTATACAGCCCTTCCTCATCTTAATGTATCAGGAGACTCACAGTTGATTACCAGATGCGAGCCTCATTACAACAGTGTGACTTTGAGTTTAGTTGGAGAATGTACAAGCTCGTATGCGAGTGTGTGCAAACTCTCAACATGCACAAGATTGACCAGAGCTTTCCCAGCATTTTGATGAGCCCGGAGCTTCTTTCAGACGGCGCAGACCATAATAGGAAGGGCCTTTGGGGGTTGGTGCTCGTGGATCTCTTCTTTCGGCTGCTGCACGACAAGCCTGCCACAATGACGGCCAACTTGACTGAATGGCGCGTCAATCTTCCCTGGCTGAATTCAGACCCTGGACTGACGGAGCACGTGGTACCTACGTTGGTATTCCTTGTCAAGTCGCGGTTGACGTTCCTCCTCCTCCGGTTCTTTGACATATTCACCGAGGATACCCAAGACAAGAGCAGTGTGGTCAACAGCGTTGAGGGACTCTGTGGAGAGATCGAAGATTTATTCGAAGAATGGTCTCTGGTGAGTTTCCATCCTCGTCTTTTCTTTGTACATTTCCCATGAAGCCGAGCAAGAAGAAGGTTCCCTGACCAGCCATACCCGAACAGAGAGATTCTATCACAAAACAGGAGGACAACAGCGCCTTCTGGTGGATGCTATACGACCTGGTGACTACAGGATACTCCTGTGTGATGGTTATGATATACAAAATTGCAGCCCTCCAGTCCGACAGGTCTGGAACACCCTGCACAGCCGACGACGTACCTGTCACCCCTTTATCGGTCAATACTGCCCGCCGCATATTAGATCTCGCGCAATTAAGTCTGAGAAGGTATCCGAGCCCAGCAACTGCATCCTATGAGTTTGGTGCATTCCGCTGCTACGTCGCCTACGGCTGCATGGTCAATCATCTCTCAAAGAGCGACCCCAAGGAGCTTGGTTCCACCGCAGCGCAGGATATGAAGCTGCTGGAGGAGGTTGCCCACAGCACGGGCGTTATAGCAGAGACAGACCGAGACCTTTTGCCGCTAGCTCGCACGCTCCATGAACTGAATGAAGGGATTTACGCGAGTTGGAAAGAAAGAACAGGGGGAAACGACGGGATGACGGGCGAAGATGGTGGCTAAGATTAGATCTTTGGTAACACATTAGGTTACTTTATGGGTTTGGAATAGATGGTACACTTTATGCCCATGAGAAGCTAGAACAGAGATGGTTTTGAAAGAACCCGGTAGGCCGTCTATCCTACTGGCACGCTGAGCAGTAATTGAGTAACTAAGTTGAATAGCTCCTCCTCTCCCAGCTTAATTGTGTGATATCAGTAGCGTTTCTAGCCACTCTCTAAATGAAGCCTTGATTTGATAACCATTATTACTTGTCAAAATGGTGGTCATTGCCATCGTTGGAGCCACTGGTGGCATGGACAAACCCATTCTAGAACAGCTCCAAATTTCTGGGAAGCACCAGATTTACGTTCTAAGACAAAAGGTAAGTATTCTCACTGCAAAATTCCTCATGTTGAACAAAGATTTACAGCCGTTTACGGTGTTCCACTTCAGGGGTGACCTTATGCCAGAAGCTCGCATTGGCAGAAATAACAGTTCACCTTCTCTACACATCTACTTGAACACGCAAGCTGAATGGAGATGGAGTGCCACATCTAACTACAACCCTAATCACTCACGCATGGTCCAAACTACATGACACAAGATAGGGAGACCCGTTCTGCCGTGCCTCCTCGGAGTGTAATGTCTTGCAAGGGCAAGGATGCCATGACTCGGCCCAGTTCCGAGTCTGTCCAGGCCTCTTCTACTTGGCTGCAAGGGTATAAGCAGGCTGCGTCCGTTCGCCTGTGGACTGACTCGCAGGGTTTCTCCACAGAGCTAAGCCGGGCATCAACTTGCACCCGTCCAGCTATAGCTCCGAATGGCTAATATGCACCTTGTGGTCTGTTTCGTTCATCAAAAACATATCAGGACAAGGAGGAGTCTAGCTTTCTGTAGCCCCCAAGCGTATGTCAATCGAGAGCAAATAGAATACTGTAAATAGAGCGAGGAATGTCTACTGACAGCTCTGCTGTTCAAGTGTCAAACATGAGATACCAAGAATTGTCGTCTAGAATATTTAGGTGTCCAGATGATTAATAGGATACTATAAATGAGCGTGAGATGAGTTGATCTCAAGAGTAAGAAACAACAAAAGGGCCCAGCCTAGCACTACAGTCAGCAAACCTAGGAAAACCCAACTATAACACTCACACGCCCCCCCGTAACTTAATACTTCAGGTTAATACCAGTAATAACAGGGAACCATGACAACTTGATTGACCACAAATGGGGCAAAGACATACTGCATCATCTCCAGCTCTTTCTGGGCTCTTCTTAACCGCCTCTCTTCAGACTTGATTGTTTCCAATATTGCATTCTGAATCCAATACTGCATCACCAACTGAGCAGTCAGACGCTGTACCATGTAGTCATCATGCATGGGCTTCTTTGTTACAACCTTTGGTGGCTTCTGTGGAAGCTTGACGCCTTTGGTCGGCTTTGGATAGATGGCCATGAGGAACTTCTTGTCGCCTTCAGACAACTTGGTCGCTAGGGGCACATATGTGACGAGGCTGTGGGTATCTCCTGGCTCAACTGGATAGTGCATGATGGACTCATGGTCATATGCAGCAGGCTTCACCCCCTGGGTCAACCTGTCAAAGTTGTCGTGAACCTTCTCGGCGCTCCAGCCATACTTTGCCTGGATGACCTGCATATTCCAGTTGACCTTGCATTCGGGATGTTGATGCTCATGCTGCATGCCTAGGGCATGGCCAAACTCATGCAAGATGTCGTACTGTCTCTTAGCCCGTCTCGCCTCTGCTCCCATGCTGGAATCTCGGTGCATGTTCAGCCACATGGTCGGCTCCCCTCGATGGTTCTCTGCAGAACGGCCAATGAGACACTTTGACTGGTCGGTAAAGGTAATGCGGATATCAGAGTGTTCGGGATCGCCCGGCTCAAGAAACTTGAACCGGAGGCGCATCGGTATCGAGTTGTAGTGATCTGTCACGCACTTCTTGACCGTCTCTTGATCAAACTTGTCGCCGTTGAGAAAGCGTACCCTCAAATTACACCTCTCGCTAGGCCACAGGATATTGTTCTTTGCAAGGCCAGCCTTTGCGCCATCAGAGGAAGACTTTTGTCGGGTTTGAGATGTCGACTTGTGTTGAGATCGAGAAGTAAGCCTTGATCGGCCTGAACTTGCGTGTCGTTGACTGAGATGCCGGGGTTCAGCCATATCGAAATCGTAAGAATCAGAGTTTTCAGAATCAGACTCAGACTCAGACTCGGAGCTCTCAGAGTCGTAGCTATCCGATTCGAAGCAATAGCAAATGTCGTCTTCGTCACAGAAGCATAGTAGGTCGTCGTCAATCCACTCGATGTATCCGTTCATGGTAGGGAGGTAGGCAGCACGAGTTTGTCTCTTTTGGGTTAACAGGGAAAATAATTACAAAGTTGTGACGGAACAGAAAGTAACACGGGCAACGGGGAAGAAATACCTCAGGATCCCTTTGTCAAAAGTGCAAATGGTCCGCGTACCAAAGGCACTGGCTCTTCCAATCAACATGATTGGTTTTCATGCCTGATTCAACAAAGACACAATATGCCACGTTGAGTCACCATGCATAAAAATCCAATCAGTGCTGATGTTGGAGCGCCTCAATGAAACAAGGCATACACACAGCCCCAGGCGGAATCGCACTGTTCAAAGGAAGCTGCATAAAGGCCAGCATTGCTTCAGAGGGGCGAATCATAGATATTTCTCTCCCACACTTGTTCCTGGAGGGTACCCAAGCTATTGTAATTCTCCTCATATGCTGTGTCAAGAGTTGTGGGTGAATGTAGCGACCGAATGGGAGCATCAATGTTCACAGCCTGCTTGTGAACGATGCATGGCTCGAATCATCCACCCTTACCAGCGTATGCAAGTAAGCCCTGAGTCCTTTCATGTAACTTGTAGAAGGGAGACAATTCGCTCGGGGAGACAAACATGATACGTGTTCCAGTGTGACGTGTCACGAGGGTATCACCTGGTCGTCGTGCCGCGGCGGTGGCCTTGGTGAAGAGACCCCAGCCTCTTGAGATCCAGCCACTTTGCACGACAAGAGCCTCAATCATTCGGCGTTGATGTGCATCCAATCGGAATGTCGTGGCTGGCAGGTTATGCTACCCTCGGCACAGCATGTCAAGTGATTTCGTCGCAGACGCCAAACTCAAGTACACTTACCAACCGTGGCGAGGTTCTCGGCCGACATCAATCGCCTGCATCAACACAGCGTTCCAAGCTTCTGTTACGAGCAGGGGTGACTAGTGATGTTAAGACTCGGTCGACCCCATCTAGCCATGAATTAACTCGCAACTGATGCATGAACGCCGACGGCTCAAGGCGTATTACAGTGGAAGAGTCTGGCGAACATGCATGCGCATGGAGGATGTCCGGCCGATCACCAAGCTGCAGGTTCTTCATTGTCAGATTGGTGCATCTTGAAACCTTGATAGGTAGACATTAGGCCCGTGAATCTCACAACACCCCTCAACTGCCCTCACGCTGTAGTGCATGGTGTTGGTTCGGCTTCGTGCGGTTCGGCCCGCTCGACGCTCCTTGGCATGAGCTCGGGAGAGGCTGGGAGCATTGGCCAAAGGAGGCTGAAGTCAAAACAAAAAGTAAATAACTGTAATAGTTTGCGGGCTTGTTGATCAGGCAGTATGTCGAGTATAGAAGCGACAACAAGAGCATCTTGACTGGAGGGCACCACAAACCGCAACGAATCTTGCCGTGACTTTAAGAGTATCAGTCAAGAAAGACATCACCAGAACTAGCGAGTGGTTGGCATCACTTCAGCAAGTCGCAGGCGTATGAAGTTGACGATGAGAAGCCAAAAAAAAAACGTTGCCAATACCCAACCCAGACTCCAGGAATTTATTCATTAATTATAATACAAGATGTCTATTTACTCATTAGACATGAGAGCGTCCTCTGTTGTGAAAAAGGTGTTCTTCGCTGCGAGGAACTGCTTGTGGAAGGTCTCGAGAAGAGTGCCGGGGAACACGTTGCCGACGACAATCTTGAGCCTATCCTCCTTGCCTAGCCAAACGTGCTTGATGAACTTGCCCATGCAGCCCTGGTTGGCCTCGGGGAAACCGTTGGCCTCTGTGCAGGGCAGCTCCTTGATGTCATTGGGGTAGTCGTAGCGCACAAAGGTGCCGAAGCCGCCCTGGTCGGTGGGCTGCCAGCCCTTACGGTGTCGGAACTCGGTGCACCCAGGGTACTTGCTACCCTCGTTAGGGCAGTCGTCCCAGTCTCTGAAGATGTCGTATGTCTTGTTGTTGTTTTGCATGATCATGAAGCCGGTGTTGAGGAACAGCTTGCCGAATCGGTCATGGTTGTGCTGGACATCGGGGTCGACGGCGAGGGCGAGGGAGTTGTTGTGAGGCGAGATGCTCCAGTAGTTCATGAGCCATTCGAGAGGGAGGTCGAGATGGTTGAAGAGGGCGTCGGAATCAATAAAGATGCAGACGTCGTGGTTCTTGAGGATCTTGGACAGAACAGATGGCTTCTTCCAAGAATCACGTCGATCCTTGTAGGTGTTGATCTTGACATAGTAGTACTTGTAACCGTGAATCTGGGCTGCGCGAGACAAGTTAGAATGATCCTCAACCAGTAAAAGACACAAGTAAAAGCAACGTACAATAGACCCAGTGGTTAAGGGTACCGCCAGAAGGACCATGGACATCCTTGGCACGGCTCCAGCTCATTCCCTGGGGATCCCAGATCTGTCCAGGCTTGTCGAAAGGACGGCTTTCGAGGTCGACGATGCAAAGACGCTCGCCCAGAGATTCCTTCCAAATGGGGTCGGGGTGAGGGAGCTTCCATCCCCAAGCGCCATAATCGGCAAATTGGGGGGTTGTGGGCTTGACCGAAGGGATCACAAAGTCCTGAGGGCGCAGGACATGGGACTCGGCGGCGGTGGGTGTAGGAGTGGGAGTAGGAGTTTCCTCGACTTCGACTTCAACGACCTCCTCGACGACCTCGATCTCGGGCTCCTCGGTTCCAGGCGTGGGCACGGCCGGGACGGTCTCGAGTTCTTCTACAGGCTTGGCCGAGGGGAAGACAGAGGCCTTTGGAGGCTGCGCGGCCTTGGTAGCGACCTTGGGTGCGTTATCGGGGCTGGCAACGGCGTGATCGACGTCGGGGATATACTCGTCGGAGTCGGAGCTATTGGAAGCAGTCAGATACTCGATCGCGAAGCCATACAAATGGAAGAACTCACATGGCAGTAGCCGGGCGGGATTGAGTTGCATTAAGATGGAAATGGGCCAAGCCCATGAAGAATGTGAAGAAAACGGCCGCGACAAGCAGCGCTACCCGGTTGGAGCGAACAGCGCCCATCATGGTTGCACTCAGTAATCCAAAGTCATAGAAGGGAATAAAAGGAATGTCGGTATGACTTGGAGAGCGCGAGAGAGATGTCGAGTCCACGAAGGAAGCGAAGCAAGCGAACGGCGAGAGTTGGGCAGATCAAGATTAGCTGGAACGACAGGGGAGAGACGAGACGGGACGGAACAATATTCTTTAAAGACAAAAACTGAAACGCTAACGTTGTAGGCGAATAGGGGAACCCCTCCGCTGGAGCTCAGCGGGCAGAGAGTCTTGGCTAGCGGCCCACCCCGTCATGCTTCAGCGGGTTAGGGCCCTGGGCTAGCACTGTACGATTAAGGGGGAGGGGGATCAGCCTCACGCTCCGACAGACGGTAGTTGGAACTAGTACGATAAGCCCCTGAGTTATCATTGATTTATCGACTTCTAGCGTCGATAGCGGCTGAGTGATCCCTGACCGTTTCTCCGTTTGGAAGCGGCCGGGCCCTGTCCCGAGCTGACGCCGGTCCCATGTCGACGGCCACAGACCCGCCGTCATCTCCACGACTGTTGAAGCCTTCAGGGGTTTTGAGAGATGTGTAGATGACTTTTCTATGTCTAGACGCCACTGACATCCGTGCTGCCGAAGTTCAACTGCCAGCTACCCCTATCTCAACGGTTCGGCTGGTGGTGGTGCCGGTAGAGTTCCTCCTGTTGAGCCAAATGCTGAATGCGTCAGCGTAAGCGTCAGCAGTGCAGTAGGGCTGTGACGACAGGGTCCAGCCCGGCTTATCTGGCCAATTAACGCGTGTCGCATTCAAGGGTACATTTTTAGTCTCACAGTTTTGGTGGGATAGCAAGTCACACAATTCCAGTCGTTGAGAGTAACCTTGACGAAACCTACCAATGAGTGAATGCCACAGTCGCCGTTCGATTTGACAACGGCTTGCTTCTCCAGAGCATTCAACACATCCTGCACTATGGTAGTGCACTGAAGAACGGTATTAAGAACGTATATTCACTGTATGTGCTTCTTAAGATCTACAGTTTCATCAAGATTTCACTCCTGTTTCATCCTTCTCCGCGAATAAACTCACGTCATGTCCTGCTTTAGGGTAGCATCAGTCCCGCAAACTGGGGTTTCGATGATGCATGTGTGTCACAAATAAAGTTGAATAACGATATAGGGGATAAATGCATTTAATAGCCAGGGCAGGGGTTCAGCTGAGGTGAGCAGAAGTGGTGTTGATAATTGTTAAGAACAGCATTTGCTACACCTGTCCTCCAGCAGTAAGATCGCGCCCCCCTAACAGCGACTAACCCCCCCTACCGAGTGTCTCCGCAAGGGGGAACAAGCCGTGTCTTGGATCCCCTCCCTTGCCTCTTAAACTTTCCAGTTCCATTCCTGGCGCGATCAAAACGCTGCATTCCTCTCAATACCATGCCTGAACCCCGTGTTTGGTTTATGCGTTTGGATGAGACTATTTTTCGTTTGTCGAGAGCTGTTTCACTCCTTAGAGCACGCTCATTTGTCTGGCTAGTTGAAAAGAATCCTAATAAGAGACTAGGAGCCAGAAGAAGCGTCGATCTCGCCCAAATGACTTGGATAGTATGCACTATCAGAGCGCAGTGTCCTCGGCGCCCCCTGATTCAGTCGCCAGCCACCCGTGAACCCCTAACGGTTCTTCTATAGCGATATTGCGCCGAGACCTCTCTGCCATCGTAGTTGGTTAGTTGGTGAAGCTCTGACAAATTTGTTTGTTGTTGACACAAGTTGCCAAGTTTGCCTTTGTCGGTTTTGTAAGGGCAAAGTAAGCTGTTGTGTCAATTCCCCATCTTACGTCAAGCTTTGTCACTGCTCTTGCGGATCCCTGCGAAAGGTGAACTTGGTCCATGATTGCTGGATAGCCGAGGGCATTTGGAGATCACGAGAGTGTCTAGTGATAGAAGCAAAGGGGCCGAGAGCTGAATTGTACCAAGTGGATCTCTTCAAATGATCAGAAACATCACGAGGCCTTGATGTTGGTGTCCTCTCTAACAATGTGACCGTTCAGTGTATCCATGGTCTTTCGATAGGTGAGCTGGCTGCCAACGCTCGAGCTCTAGGCCGTCATACCCGACAACTCAGCTCGAGGATATGAAACGCTTCACAGACAGCACTGTATACACGCATTAGTCCATGAAAGCGCTGCTTGGGTCTCAATATCACGCTGCATTGTCCCTCTTTTTGGAGGTCTCATACATGACCATTACGGTGAAATGCATCTGGTAATCCCCGGAATGCCATGATGTCGCATCATGAACTGATATGAGGTTCCACGATGCTAGCGTTCCAATTTGAGGTGCGATCAACCTTGGCATGGTTTAACGTGCATGCATGGATGCGACCCTTCATCTTCTTGCAGTCACCTATCACTATTTGGGATCGCTTTTCACCTCCGAGAGCCCGGATGAGGCCCTTGCCTCTTAAAAATGGTGCAGGGATAGCTGCTTAGATAGGTTTCCAGATTTGAAACTGCGAGCCTGTCTAGTCCAAATTGGATTGCTCCAAGGGAGGATCAGGATATTGGAGTACAAGAACGTGGCTAACACCATAGTTGCAGGAAACAGTAAGAGTTGAGTCCAGATTCATAATCATAATCATTTCGGCATTTTTTGTTCGTCAAAAGCTATAGCTATCTACATGAATTTCCAGTGTCCAAACCAGGACGCCCATTATAAATAAGTGTTCCCTAAAATCCTACCAAGAAGTGAAAACAAACATCTTTCCCAAGTCCCATCGTCTAACAAGAGTAGGTGATATGCAGACCGTTGGTGTCATCTTGTCCGAGGAAAACCTTGGTGTTGCCGTCAGGGTTTCGAAGGGCGACCTTCAAGTACAAGGTCTCGGCACAGTCAATACCACCGGTGATGTGGCCTTGAGGGGCAAGGTCATCCCAGTTGGTAAAGTCTGCACCTCCGACATCCTTCTCAGCAGTGTCAAAAGGCTTGACAGAGTTGTATGTTACATCTCCCTCGGGAAAGCCGGAGAGTTGTCTCACGCCGGCCAGGGCATCGCCGCCTTTGACGATAAAGGTTCTTGAGATTCTCTCGCCCTGATCCCAGCCAACAGTGCAGTCCTTGGCGTTGGAGGGGATGCCCTTGAAGACGACAACCTGCTCAACTTGGGAGGCGTTGTTGTAGGTTTCAAGATGGAAGCCCAATGCATTCTTGGCAAGATCGGGATACTTGGGAAAGACGTTGTAGTTGGCTGCAGGCCCGTGACGGGCAGTTTTCGAGGTGGAACAGCCTGCTGTCTGTCGAGCAATGTTGATGGTGGGCATGCCATTGACAACTGCCATGAGGCAGGCCAGCGAAGTGAAAATGTTGGTGAGAGAAGGCATTGTGAATGATGATCAAAGCAATTCTTGACTTGAGTAAATGCTTAGTTGGTGGAGAGTGATAGACATAATCTGAGGGAGAGCCGAACTATATATGGAGTCTCCCCAACCTCGTCACAACAATGATGCGTACGGCTCCTCTGATCAGCAAGCCAAGCCTGAATGACGCCTCATCCTTGTATGGTTGGCCTCGTATCTGTGCCATGCATGTACCGGTGATCTGACGCAGTCTTAGTCAGTCTTGGCATCTTACAACGGGAACCCGTGGACGAATCAAGGCGCCAAGCTGTTGGTGGCTGGGCAACCGAGTGGCGGGGAAAACATTGTGAAATTTATGCAGTGGGGGCGAGGCTTATTTGTTTACTTGTGCGCAGCGGCTCATTTGTCCTGTTGCAACGTGATTAATTAACGCACCTCGACGTGGTCGGCAGTTCTGGTTCATGTCTTGTCCTTGCTGACTTGTGCACATTGACGCCATCGTATGTTCTGCCTGTCACCTATGGCAATGGTTGACATGTGAGGTCATTCACTTGAGTTGGTGATTCCATGATTGACTTTGCTAGCTGCAGGAACATGAATCGCCTGCAGTCTTGTGCTGCGCCAGTCCAAGCTTTCTCTCGCATGTTTTGTGCGTTGGGCATGTTCTCGAAGAGTTGATGTACTCTATGTCGTTGGCGGTCTTTGTGTGGTTGAAGACCGGGCATAGTGAGAACGATGAGATAGAATACTTGCCAACCACTCTAGACTAAGAAGAACTTCTCTACAAACGGTGATCATGGATTGAAGGGTATTTAAATACGTTAGAGGACTATTCTTTATTGGCTTGCACCAAACATCGGTTCAGAAACTGCGTTAAGAGCACTGCGAGGAATGCACCACAGAGACTATTTGTCCTAACTACCAATCACATCTATGCAATGCAAGAGATGCTCTTTTAAGCAAGTACCTGAGGGACTATTCCCGAGTTGAACCATGGCTGCTGCGCCTAGTGTGTAGACGGCGATGCAAGCTGAGAATAGGCCCCATCTCAACCCATCTAGACCAGGCAAAGGAAAGTCTAGATCCTCTTAGCTAAGTCACTTGATAACATACGTGTTGATGAAATTCGAAAAGCACAAGAAAAACGACGTATCATCGTTAAATACCCTCTCTGACATAGTTCTTCCTTTTACTGCGGCTAGTGCCTCGTCTTGGGTGTGAGTGTTGGAACAGGTTTGAGAAAGTGTCTAATCATATCTGACCATCCTGAGAGTTGAATTTAACAAAACTCTTTTCATTTGTCTTTTTTGGACTCTTCTTTTTATCCATATACAGCCTTGAAACTAGCGATGGACTATATCTCATTCATGGTGAGGCCAGATGAAATGGGAGCGCTATCACCCATATTCTTTCCCGAGCTACGATGCAATATCCGATTCTCTACGCTGAAATTCTCTCTCTACTTGGGATGGCAACTTTTCATTAAACTATCATTGACGAGGCACTCCCGAGTACTCTGTGCAGTTTGCTCATGTCCTGGCTCTGCTGAAAATCAGGCTGAGAGATGAGAGAACAAAAGTGCCCGGGACAACCCAGCTTGCAACCAACACAAAAGGTCAGTTGTTCGGTCTGACCCTCTATCTGGCCAGGCCTTCTATGTGACCTGCCCACCTCTCTGGCCCGATGTCTTGGACAAGTTGCTGCGGACCAAAAGTGGGAACCAACTTGCGTTGGCTGGGTCGTAAGCAGAACTGTTTAATAATCGCAACGCGTCAGTTTTTGTGGTGGACAGCCCGCTAATTTTCAGTAAGACGGACTTTCGAACGGACTTTCGCTCAGAGCCGACTGTCGCACAGAGACAGAAGCAGGCTCTCGCGCTGGCTCAGCCTGATCTCAAGCTCGCACTCGGATTGAGCTGACAGTGGCATCGTCTTGATGATGCACACGGACATGGCTGTAAGTTTTCTGCATGGAAGAATGTGTCAAAATTACCGTCTTGTTGGAATATTTAAGAGAAGATCTTTTCGTCAAGATGAATTAATTAACACATCAAACAGCACTCACACCAATTCGCCTTTCAACAATCCCCAGACAGTTTGTCAACGAGCTTCTAGCCAATCAACTGGAACTACTTGGCTGTTGATAGGATGAGGCTTTCAAATCTCTTTTCCTTCGCACTTGGTGCACTTGTCACCACGGCAGTTGCCAATGAACAACCCAAGCAAGCATGGCCCAAGACTCAGAGCGGCCATTTCTCCATCTCAAACTTCACTTTCGACTCTGGAGAGACTCTCGATGAACTCGATCTTCACTATCGAACCTTGGGAAAGCTCAAGGTTTACCCTGATGGAACCACCAACGCCGTGCTCATCATGCACGGGACCACAGGCCAGACCGAGCAGTTCCTCAATGACGACTTTGCAAGCGTCTTGTTCAACCCTGGCCAGCCTCTTGACGCCAAAAAGTACTTTCTCATTCTGCGTGACGGTATCGGACATGGAAACTCAAGCAAGCCTAGCACCCATGCTCTTCGTGCCCGCTTCCCGAGTTACCAGTATTCCGACATGATTCGTGCTGATCACCTTCTCCTGACTGAGCATTTCGGCATCGAGCACATGCGGCTCATCATGGGCGTGTCCATGGGCGGCATGCACACTTGGATGTGGGGAGAGATGTACCCAGACTTTATGGATGCGTTAATGCCCATCTCCTCTTTGCCAACTCAGATTGCTGGCCATAACCGACTGTGGAGGAGGTTTGTGACCGAGATGATCACTGGAGACCCTGCATGGAACGAAGGCAATTACGAGGCACAGCCGACTGTGGGACTCGGAGGCGCATTGATGATACAACAAGTCATGCTCTCCTCACCGGCTTACTGGCAAAGGGAGTTCCCTACTCGAGCTGCAGTGGATGCCTACGTTGATCAGCTTGTCCCCCACATTGCCGAGTTCGATGCCAACGACCAGCTCTTTGCTTGGAACGCATCCTATACCTACGACCCCGAGGCTGATCTCGGGCGGATCAAGGTTCCCCTGACTGCTGTGAACACGGCTGACGACTGGATGAACCCCCCAGAGCTTGGAATCTTGGAACGCAGCGTCGAGAATAAGATGAAGCGTGGTTTGGGCAAGGCAATTACGCTTCCAGCAAGCAAGGAGACGAGGGGGCATAGCTCGTACATCCAGGCAAACCTTTGGAAAGATGAGCTCAAGGCGTTGCTGGCCAAGACAAAGTCCTACAAGGGAGGTCGATGGTAGTCGCATCTACCACATTGGGTGATATTTGTGGAGGTGCCAGAGACGCATATATGCAGGGTTTTTCACCCTAGCCCTTCCATGGCAAGGGTTTTCCCTGCAACGCAGTATCATGTAGAATTGTAGATATCGGGTACGGTGGATTGGGTAGAATAGCGTACTTATATAAATAAACGAATCTCATTCTTTTTCTTACCACGTATTAGAATTAGCTGGCCGATGGTGGTTAACACCAAATGCTACACGTGTGGTTTAGTGCAGCCCATCCACCCAATACTTGCTAAACTTGCGAGCTGGGTTTGGTACAACTTGCTGTGTCCTGGGCCATGTCTACTTCCAAAGACTGTAACATGTAGCTATGACTCTGCTTTGCAATCCATCAAGCCCATCCCAATTAGCTGCCTACGGCTGCTAGTCCAACATCTCGTAGATAGCCTTGACTTCGGGAACCTTGCCCTCAAACTCAGCTCTGGCCTCGTCCCAAACACGCTGCTGGGCGATACGGCCACTCTTCCTGTTCATGAAGGGAGGGTACCTATCATCTCGGGTCAGTAATTGTCTCAATCTTTCGGGATGATGGACTTACGGGGCGGTATCAAAGTCTTGCATAATATTTCCATGGTCCTTCTCAGAAACCGACACACCATTGACAAGGGCAGTGGCACAAATTTGCGGCTCTCTCGCCCCAAAATTCATGATCAATCTCGGAATCAGCTTCGCCTGGTTGGGGTTTGTGAGAGGGGTCCAGGCTGAGCCAGGATCGGCGCTGTTGATGGTAACCTTGGGAACACCCTTCTCCTTGGCCGCGGGGGTCGCAACGCGGGAGGCGAGTTCACGGGCAAAGTAAAGCAGAAGGCCCTTGGAACGTCCATACTGATGGGCTTGCTCCATACCCTCCTTGTTGTTGCTGAGCTTCTTCAGGTAGGAGCCCTTCTTGGGCACGCCCATAGTGAAGGAGGAGGGATAGATGCCAAAGGTGGTGACAAAGGTGAGAACAGGAGGGTTGGGGTTGGATGGAGAGGACTTGAGTAGTGGCAGTAAGAGAAGAGAGACAAGGGCCCCAGAAAGGAAGTTGACTTGGATAGCTATCGAGTTTTAGGTAATTGGCATCATCCTATAAGGTGCAGGTGTGAGACTTACAGGTTTCCCAGCCCTCAGGAGACTCGCGGCGGTTGAAGGCGAGAATGCCCGCAGTCATCAAGACATGATCGAGGTGCTCCAGCTCCTGTGCCTTCTTTCCAAGCTCCTGGCAACCCGCAAAGGACATGAGATCGGCTTCCCAGACCAGAATATTGGGAACGGGCTTTCCAGCATCAGTCAGCTCCTTCTCGATTTGCTCCTTGACCTCTCCACAGTTCTTGACGTCGACAAGAACAAGGGTCTCAACATCGCGATGGGCAAAGAGCTTAGCAGCTCTGGAACCAAAAGCTCCATTGGCGCCTGTGATGAGAGCAGTCCTGCCCTTGTACGACTCAGTACGCACAGTAGGCCTGCCGTGACGCTGCTTGTACAAGCTCTGCCAAGGGAAGTACTCGGCCAAGAACAAAGGAATGCCAAAGGTCAAGCCAATCACGACGAGGGCACTCGCCACGGCAATGTATAGCCCTGAATTGGCCATTCTGAGAGGAAATATGTCGTCGTCGTTGTGCACGTGTGTGACGTTGTAAAGGCGGTGGAGAGGAGGAGAGCGTTAAATAACCCAGCCTCCTTGCATCGTACGAGGTGGGGTAAACAAATGCCGGCCGGAATCGGACTATCCGGCCCCTGTTGATCGACTGATGTTGGGCTCAACAAGATTGTGATAATCTGCGAGGTTAAGTTGCAATATGCAGTATGACAACTCTCCCCTCTGACGAGTCCAGATTGATAAGAGGTGACAACCATCCACCATTCCCTTTCATTATCCACACGTTATCAGATTATCTTATCGATCTAGACTTCCATTGTGTCGTGCACGGACACTCAAGACCCATGATAGGTAATTGATCCTGGCCCCTGGATAAAAAGAAAGTTCCATCAAGTCCCACAGACGGCAAAAAGAGAACACTCAAGGGTCTGGCCGGGGATTGAACCCGGGACCTCTCGCAAGCTGTGCTGCAGGGTTTGCCCTAAGCGAGAATCATACCACTAGACCACCAGACCGGACAGGCTTTGGGCGCCTGAGGTGAGTTGAGATCCAGGCCCGGTTGTTTGCCATCATGTCTGGGGAGAAGTCGGGGAAGCAAGTCTTGCATACCTAGGTACTCTATGAAAGAGTAGTAGAAGAGTATGAACTTGGCTTACAACTATGCATTGAAGTAGGCATGCTTGACGCTATTAAACTCACTCCATAAATCTGCTTCCGAGACAGGTTAGACGGGCGTCATGCTAACAACGGGCGATCGCCCCCCAAGCCTCCAAGCAGTTGAGCCCGTTCACACAGTTTTGGTCGTTGGAGAAGAAATTGCTGATTAGACAAAACTGTGCATGACTGTGAGTTTTTTATCGTGCTAATGTTGAACTATCTTAATGCTAGCATTTTGTTGAAAGCCGTGCCAGTTGCACCTCTATCTGATCCCCCAATTGACTAAGACGAGACCGATACCAGACACCTTCTGCACTAACCCGCGAGTTCAATACTACCCATCGCAAACAATTTTCAGCCATGGATGTTAAATCTGTGATGTCTTCGAAGTGCAGCTTAGTGGTAGCATCTTCAAGTGCAACCTGAGGCTCGGTTGCTGATGCAGATGTCAATGTTATTGACTCCACGATAGGCCTCCACGCTGTAATGGTTGAGATCGGCTGCGCTCAAGGCATCCTGGACCAGTTGTTGGGCGAAGTATCCAGTGAAGCCGGCAAGTGGTTGAGCCCAAGAAAGACAAGCTCCGCTAGAACAGACGCTTCTGGGGCTCACGGGGAAGACTGTCCAAGCCAGGTTGCCGAGGTAGCCGGCAAGAACCTGGGCTCCAAAGGTGCTAGCAACGTGCGACGTCGACTTGGTCCAGTTCCACCGAGAACGCGCCTCGAGAATGTCACGCTTCTCGATGTGAGCGCACTGGCTTACATGAGGGAGCATGACCTCGTCCAGCTCTCCACAGAGCCACGCCGTGTCCTCGGCCTGCCCAACTTTCAAGTGACCGGCCATGGTTGCGTTGACAAAGGTGACCAGAATTTTGTTCTCGTTTCCTTCAGAAAAAGCTGCGGCGTAATCATGCACAGCTGCAACGGCGAGCGCCTTCTCGGAGCTGATGACACTGAAGTCGTAGTGCGTGGCATCCTGTCCGAAGATCTTGGCCGTGACCTTGGACAAGTAAATGTCCTCAAAGTCGGCCGAAGCGGCATTGCGAGCGTGTGAGTCTGTGCCAGTCGTGGGCATGGCATGGGCCGCGGGGAAAACCTCATATAGAGCCATGCCAATGGCAATGGCGGCTGCAGAGGTAGCCATTCGAGTGAAGCGTGTCTTCATTTTGACAGGCGATGGTTGAGACAAGTTTAGAAGAAGGGTAAACGAGTAGCTTCTACTGATGATGGTTTGAGAGGGAGTGATGATGATTCAGGATGAGCATCGGATCTTCTAGGGGACCTCCAGGCCCTTTATACTTCATGAACTGCTATATCGTTGAGATGTAGACGAAACTCACATAGGTAGCTACAAGTATGCCTCGGAAGGTAGAGGCAGAGCTCCCCACAGGTGTCTCACATGCTACCTTACATAACGGTTGACATTGATCTCGTAATTATCCTTGTTAGGAAAGTGGTATTCTTTTAAGCCACATTTTTCCGTTCTCAGAGTAATCGAGACCATCTTCTGCTTAGACAAGAGTTCAATTGAGAGATATATCTTGCCGAAAGCCGGACAACCCTTGACTCTGCAGCTGGAAAGAGCTCCACATGCCAGCATTTCGACAAATACAATCCTCTCGATGACTTCTTTCCCCAGTTTTCTATTTGAGGACGGAGACTTTTACCGGCGGCCGCCTGCGGGAGGTCCCGTCGATCTAGAACGGTCTATGTCGGCAGCTGAAGTGGACAAAGGGGCCGAAGGACTTGTGACAGAGTAACTCTATGCTGGTCACCTACATGATTCTGAGACGGAGGCGTTTTTATCGACGGAAGTACGGCACGCCCAATGCAACCTACGAGCACTGACAGTTCAGGCAGTATAGTGCCCTGATACGCAGTGTTGTCCTAGGAGATTGGGAAACAGTATTGGGGTAGCCCGAAAGGTCTTAGCTACTCGAGCAAGACATTGGGATGCTAATGGAGATGGTGTTTGTTGTGATCTCTTGCCATAGTTGAGCTTACCTCTGCAAAAGGTCTGAAGCTTGATCAACTCAAGGCCACGCTAGGTTACCAGACCTCAATGTGTCATGGTTTTCCTGGCTAGCTTGGACTATATGCATAAACCGGTGAAGTGGCCATGATATTAGAGACAAAAGTAACTCTTGCAAAGAGTCAACAATGGTACCATGTAAGAAGAGTCCAGGCGAACATTGAGTCATTGATATACATATGCTACCTGGGTTATCTCGTTATCCTTCAGCCTGGCAGCTGCGAGACAATTTAAAGAATGCAGAAACATGGCATTACAATGTCTTTCTATTAAAAGAATGCCCGGCTGTACTACAATTATTCTTCCTTACAAATATAGTTCTCCATAACCATCTCCTTCGCCCCTCTCAGTATCTGCAGTCTGCGCGGACGCGTAAGAGTAACCCCCATTGTTGAACTCGCCTTCAAGAACAGGATACTCAAACTCTCGATACGCATCCTTGATCTTCTTGGCACTTCGTAGAAACTGCTTCTTCGTTTCTTTGTAGTCGCTCGCCGTGAGTTTACCGTCTCGCTTGACAAAATCTCCATTTACAGTGACATGCAGAATATCCCCAACGCTGGCGTGCAACATCACGGCTGCCACTGGATCAGTCCATCCCAGGAGAGCCGGAGACTCGGCCGCGTTCCATACGATCAGATCGGCCTTTGCACCTTTCTTGATGACGCCAAGATCCGGTCGTCTAAGTGCCAGCCCACCAGCACGTGTCGCAAGAGAAAAGGCTTGGACAACACTCATGGGATTATTCCTGGGAACCTCCAAGTTGTTGAGAACCTTGTCGAAGAAATAATAACGAGCACTCTGTAGCCAGATCCTCGCTTGTGTCAAGATGTCCGTTGAGAAGGTAAAGTGAGTGTCAACACCAAGAGCAGCTTGGTCCTGGATGAAATAGGACAAGGGATGCGTGTGACCATAGTGCATCTCGGATTCGGGCGTGATGGACAAGTACTGGTTCGTCTTTCGAAGAAGGTTTGCGCCACCTGCTGTAATGAAGCTACCATGAGAGAAGACAACTGGGACAGAAGTATTGAGAATGCCCAAGGCGTGGATATCCTCCGGCATATTGGAGATGCCGAAAGGACCCGACAGGGCATGAGTTGTCAGTACCGAGACATTGTACTCTTGAGTGAGACGTGCAATCTCCTTGGCGACAGGAGGTGGGCTTGGGCCAAAGAAATCGTAGGCAATGCCCAGCTCGACGTTGGTATCTTTGAGAAGGTCTCCATCTGCGATCTCCACAAAGTTGGGGATTTGGTCCTCGACGGTATAATTCAGGGATGCAACATCATGGAATGCATACGCCCAAAACACACGGGCACCGCTCTCGATTGAGGCATTCATCCCAGCGTACGCTGTTGAATTGGACCATGTATGATGAGCATGGTCAAGAGAGGTTGTGACGCCAGCGTTAAGAGCTTCCAGAAGGCCAGAGAGTTGGCCCCAATAAACGTCGTCGGCCGTGAAGTGAGAAGCGGCTGCATACTCTCCATATCGTCCGAAGTACTGAGCGAGCGAAGTGTTTGAACCCAAAGTTTTGAAGGCCGTCTGCCAACCGTGTCGATGTGTGTCGATGAAACCGGGGCTGATGATCTGGCCAGTGACGTCGATGACCTCGGTATCATCAGGCAGAGACGAAGGCTTTGACTCCGTGGTGCCAGTAACTCGATCGTCGGTTACCAGAAGATAGCCATCACGGGTGGTTCGAGGGAGGTTTGTAGAATCATCCCATCCAATGATGGTTGCGCCACTGAAGAGCTTGGAGGAGGACTTGGCAACAGCTCCAGTGAGCACAGCCGCGAAAGCGGACAAGACTGAAGTCTGTCTCATGGTTGATCGTTTATCTCGGCAATTGATAGACCGATGCAGACAATAGTACGATCATCTCTATCCAGAACACTACCAGTCTTATAAGTTGACGGAAATCCGGATTCACGGATATGTCGGAGTTTCTTGTAGTCATAAATGGTCAGACGATCACGGTTCTTCGGATATACTGACTCGCCTACTTTCATTATAGGGGCTTTTATCATCGCCTGTGGGTCAAAAAGACTCAGGGTCCCGCATATACAGACTCAAAAGGCGGCATGAAGGTGCGTGCTCGTAAGAGAACGACGCTATTTTCTGTTACGTCACAGCTCGGAGAGCGAGCCGAGGTTGGCAAGATTGTCAGCAAAGACAAATCTAAGCTTATAAATGTGCTTCTCAAGAACTCTGAATGGAGTCACCATCAAGCTGTCATTGGTCTTGATTGGCCGTGGAGTCGTTACTAGCCAAAGGCGTGTCGGTAGTCGGAGATCTCCTCT